CACACACACACAGAGGGAGGGAGGAGGGAAGAGAGAGGGAGGGAGGGAGAGGGAGAGATGGGCAGAGGGAAGCAGGAAAGGAGGGAGGGAGACACTTTTCTAACCCTGCCTGCAATGTCCCCAATTTAATCTTCTAGGCTTCTTGGTCTAGAGAGGAGCTGCCTGGGTAGTAACAAAATATTGCTGGGAGACAAACTATGCCACCTGTCTACTCCAGCAGAGGGCACTATAGTTCCAGTTTTTCAAACAGACATGTATGGCACAGTTCAGCAACCATGAACTTGGCTAGGACCCTCTGCTTTTGTAATATATAGAACAACCATATGGAACTGTATCTAGAAAACCTGGACATAATTGTAACTGCTATGGGACACCAAATTTCATCCCCACGAAACTAGATGTTCAAGCTACTCATAACCAGTGCTGAAGCCTCCAGTGTGGGCCCACCTCCACGATGGTGACTTTGCAGATAGCAGACAGACCACTTTTCCTACAAGGGCTCAGCCTTTTCACACTGCTCTTCCCCAGTGAGGCTGGTCTAATTCACTGCAAGAGTGACAACAAGTCCCAGATCTTTCTGCTTCCAATGCTGACTTTAAGAAATTACATCTTACATTCAGAAAAGCTCAGAGAGCTTGGGCTCTCCCTCTGGATCAAGACAGTGCTGCCATATCCCCTATCCAACTCAAGTCTGTTCCAGGTGAGCAGACATGCTTGCTGAAGCCTCCCACTTGGCTGTGTACAACCGTTAGCAGACTGAAGTGTTCATGCAAGTTGTCCACCATCTCTCCTGGAAGTCTCGATGGAGCTGTTTCAAGGAACAGTTAGAAAGAGTCTGGACAAACTCATAGTCCTGCCATGTGTGAGTTTGTTACTAAACTTCTCTGGGTCTCTGGCTCCTTTTGTCAAATGATGGCTTCTACTTTATGGAACCGTGCAGGGTCCATTAGTATTAGCAATCTTTATCTCTAGAAAATCCACTTTACCTAAGTAGTCTGAAGCACTAAATCCCTGGGTTGCTCATGCCCCATCTGCTTTCCCTACACTTGGAATCAGCAGGCACACCACTAAAGATGTAAAGAACTAGCCCCATAAGGCAAACACAGCCTGAGGATCTGGTTCCCTGGGCTCATGTCCACTTCCTCACAAAGCACAGATAATTCCTTTGTATCAAGGAAGACAGTAAGTACAAGACAGTCCTCCAAACATACTTCAGCAAACCATCTTAATATGCCCAGACCAATTAAAAAAATTAATACTACCATTTGATATGACCTTGTAGATAGGGGTCATCTTTCTTTTTTATAAGTTATTTTTATTTCATATTGGTGTTTTGCCTGTACGTATGTCTGTGTGAAGGTGTCAGATCCTCTAGAACTGAAGTTAACAGACAGTTGTGAGCTGTCATGAGGGTACTGAGAACTGAAACTAGGTCCTCTGGAAGAGTAGCCAGTCCTCTTAACTGCTAAGCCATCTCTCTAGCTACCTCATTTTTAAAATTAAAAAAAAAATTGCATACTTATGTGTGGTCTATGTGTATATAGTATATGTACATAAATGTGTGAATGAGTATGCCTGTGCTCACATGGAAGTCAGAGGAAGGCACTGGATGCCCTATCTCTACCTTGTTCCACTGAGGCAGGGTCTCTTGAACTTGGTGCTCCCATTTTTTTTTAAACTAGGATTGCAACCAGCAAGTCTCAGTGACCCTGTTTTTGTCCCCTCAGTGCTGGAGTTCCAGGCATGCATGTGGCTACATCTAACCTTTTCATGGGTTGAAAATATGAACTCTGGTTCTCATGTGTTAGCACAGCAAAGGTTAGCATAGCAATCTAACACTCATAATTGCTGGGCCAGTCAGGCAGCTCAGGAGTCATTGTATTTTTATATACAATACTATAACATTTTCTCTCATCCTAATCTTGTATGAATTTCTAGTCTACTGTCTACAAAGCAGCATACCAAGACAATTGCAAATAATGTGTTGGATACTGACACCATTATGACCCAAGAACCTGGAACCGACCCTTCATCTAAAAGTCAGAGTTCAGGGAGTAACACTGGGTCTGTATTCTTCAACTGGAAATTCTAGACCCAACCAGCCTGGGTTCTAGCAGAAGCCTTGAGCCAAGTAGTGAATAACTGGGACTTGAGGACCATCACTGCTTACAGAACAGCCTATAGTACTGAAAACTCAGCCTCATTAATTAGGATGAGTACAAGATCCACTCATGTACTCTCATTTTATCAACAGTGTCTTCAAAGTACAGTCAGAGCATTAAATGTGGTTTTACGGCAAACCCCAACTTATGGCCCAATTCTAAAAGAAGCTATTTATAGTCATTCCTAGTTCCCAAGCACCACTCAGGACAGGGTATCAATTAGCTGTGTGAAGAACCTCTGTTGTACCACCTGCCAACAAGATGTTGATTCAGCTCCCTCTCACAGTAGAGTTGACTCATTGCGTCCTTTTTAGAGAACATTCCTCAGTAACCATGACATGTTTCTTTTTGTTGTTATTGGGGTTTTTTGTTTGTTTGTTTTTGAGACAGGGTTTCTCTGTGTAGCCTTGGCTATACTGGACTTCACTCTGTAGAACAGGTTGGCCTCGAACTCACAGAGATCTGCCGCCGCTGCCTCCTGAGTGCTGAAATTAGTGTATGTTTCTTACCCACCCTTGCCACCATTTATCACAGGTACCTTATCAAACCTAGGTGTTTGGGGGTGGGTGAAGCTATAAGTTACCAAGAATATCTCCCAGTTTGACCAAAAGGAAAATGAAAGACAAAATCAAACCAACCCAAGAAGCAAGGTATATGTTTTACTCAAGTGGCAGACATCAGAGTGGGTGAGACTGTCAAGCAGACTCCAGACGTAACTGCCGTCCATATGGGAAGCTGGGAGCCTGCTGCTTGGACTCTTTGAAGTAACAGAACATCATCTGGTTGTATCTTAAGCACAGTCTGATGCCTAAGAACCAGACGGTACCTCTTGCTGTCTCCTGCATTTAGAACAACAATTTACTCTCAACCCAGATCCTGACACCCACTAGAAATATGCCTGCTATTACTCCTCAATCCACCGCTATTTGACCATGGACATATTACTACTTTTACCTGGCCTAAAGTTGAACCACCAGGCTCAAACAATACCATTTCCAGGAAATGACCCCTCATTACTGGAGGCTACAATGAAGTACAGATCATCACCTGCTTCAGGCCAGCATCCCAGAACACACTCCCAGAAAACCTCCGGGACCTCCAACCCCTTTCACCCTCAGCTTCACAGAGGGCACATTCAAATTGCACCTCACGCAGGAGGTGTCATCACAGTTATCGAGTGTTCAAGAATTCCTTCGGAGGACAGAAAGGAGAAGGGAAGATAGGGATATGAAGAAGGCCAGGGGAGGAAAGGGCGAAACAATTAGGAGTTGGAAGAGAACTCCACAACAAAAGTAGCACCCTCACCGTCACGTGAGGCAGCAATGTTCACCTGTTTCCAGGGAAAATGGTAAATATTTATCTCTTCCCTGACAAGCATTAAGAAGAAGGAAGAGAATTTGAGGGAGTGGGTCAGAGCCACGGCTCTGTGAAAGCAGAACAGAGACACTTAGAACAGAAGATGAAGAGCTGGGTCTTATTAGGGGCCTGGCTGGGAGAGAGGGGGCAAGGCGCCTAGCTCCTCTTTATGGCATGGGTGGCAACATGGGTGGAACAGCCAAAAGAAATCTTGGAGCAACCTGGACAACTTTCTTTTCATGCCCTGACCAAGCCATGCTGTCCTCCATCTTGAAGTTGTCATATCCCGCTGCTCTTCAAGGTTCTGAGGTGCAAACAGACACTACTGCATTGGACATAATGGTGGGCACTGTTGGCACCAAGGACACAGTTCTGTGTGCTGAGGGAGAAACAGGACGCCACGCCGCCGATGCCCCGCTGCTCCCAGTCACACAGCTAGCAAAAGCTCTATCTGCACACTGCCTCCCTGCAACCTCTGACTCAGGAAGCAGAAACAGGCAGATCTCCAGAGTTCCAGCCTAGCCAGGGCTACATAGTGAGATGCTGTCTCCAAAGGAAATTAAAATCTAGAAGTGTTTAAGCTTAGCCTGTTTCACATTGCCTTGAGAGGCTAGGTGAGATAGAGTTGGTCATCTGTGAGATGCAAGCTCTGCTTTGTAAGAGCTAATTTCTCTAATTTCTGAAAATGATGAACGCTATTACCCACTACACAACATTCCCAGCCACCGCCCCTCTCTTCCTCCCCGCCCTGTCCTTCTCCTTATCACCTCACATTCCAGTTCCAGTCAACAGAGACCTCCCTCACTCTCCTACACTTCTGGTATTTTTTGGTTTTTGTTTGTTTATTTGTTTTAGGTTTATTTATTATGTATACAGTGTTCTGCCTGCATATATGCTTGCACGCCAGAAGGCACTAGATCTTAATATAAATGGTTATAATACACCATGTGGTTGTTAGGAATTGAACTCAGAACCTCTAGAAGAGCAGCCAGTGCTCTGAGCCATCACTCCAGGCCCTCTCCTACACTTCTGAAGTGCCATCCTACAGCCTGAAGTACCTTCCTTCAGGCCTAGAAATTGCTTATCTTCCAGGATTTAACAAGCCCTTCTCCTTCCAGCCCATTTGAAGTTCTACAATCATGTCAGTCTTGGGGGAGTCTATGTCCAGATGAGAGGCCATTTTTTTTTTCACCTGCACTAGTTCTAAGTATCTGTCTAGAATCATGAGTCCAGTGGGAAGCCACTCAAAATCTGGGAGTCAGAAAGGAGTGGTGAGGGATTCTTGTAAACATCGAGTTCTTTCTCCATCCACTTTATCTCAGGTTTGATAACTTGACTCCTGGGATGCTGAGAATTGAGTGTCTGAGTGTCTGGGAGCTAGGAAGGATTTCTGCTATGTGCCTCGTTGGCATGGAGACCAGGAAATCAAAGACTAAAGTAGTCCCGTTTGCCAAATACTCACAACAAGCCTTCTCATTTCAGACCAGAAGGATGCAGTGTCCTCTAGGTTTCCCCCAATTGTCTCAGAAGATGGTAATTATTCCATACACCAGAATAGCCACTCAAGGTACCATGAAGCTGTACGGAAGGTGTTGTTAAAAACATGTAAGTACCTTGGCATAGGCAACAAGGAATGAGTCCGAGTGCCTAAAGAATGACTAAGGTGTCACACGGTTATTGGGAGAGAGGATGCTGTGCTGTTTTATGTACATTCTCCAAGAACTGGGAGGACAATGACACAAAGCTGAAATAATGGAAGTACCTGGTGTACTGTCATACTGCGCCCACTGATGAGGACAGTCACACCAGTAACTTAAACTGAGTTTAAACACCAAGCAAGTTGGGTGACCTTGGGGGCATTCCTTTGATCATTTAACGTCTCCTAACCACTTGAAAATAGGATCTCTTCAACTTTGTCCAGAAAAGCAAGTAGGACAGACTCTCAGTGCATACGTAGAAACCTCCAGGGAATTGTGTTCTCTAAAGAAAGCCATTCCTGGGGTGAAGAGATGACTCGGTGGTTAAGAGCACTTGCTGTTCTCCCACAGGATCTGAGTTTGGTTCCTAGCACCCACTTGACAGCTCACAGCTGCCTGTAATGCCAGCCCCAGGGGATGTGATACTCTCTTCTGGCCTCCACAGGCTCCCACAATGTGACACTTAACAGACACACTTGCATATACAAATTAAAGAAGAGAAAGAGATCTTTGTGAGTTTAAGGCCAGCCTGATCTACAAAGCTACACAGAGAAATCCTGTCTCAAAAAAACAGAGAGACAGAGTGCAATCAGTGCAATTCCCCAGACTACCTTCCTTCCCTTACATGGTTCCCTCCATCTTTTAGTAACTTCCAATTTTGCTTCATTAGAAAAGGACAACTCCTAAAAGATCATAATCTGCATTCCATTTATGTATTATTCTTATGATAACTAAAGGACAGAAATGAACAGATCACTGTACCAGAGGCTAAAGAACAGAAACTCCAGATGTTTGGGAATTATCTCTTACAATTCTCATCTTATATATTTATGTCCTAATTGTGGCAGGGTACTACAATCTTATAAAATGTCACCACTAAGGTCTGGGAATCTCCCAGTAGTAATTCTTATATCTCTGTGACTATGTAATTACTTCAAATTAGCCCCCCACAGAACTGTGGTGGGAGGACCCAAGGACTTTCGATACATTTCATTCTACCACTGGGCTATATATATCACCAGCCCTTCTTTATAGTCTTATTTTGAGATGGGCTTTCACTAAATTGTTCAGGCTTGAACCTGTGGTCCTCCTGATTCAGCCTTCCAGGTAACTGAAATCACAGGTTAGGCCAAAACTAAACAAGAAACTTTAGAGATGAAAACAGGCAAAGATAAGAAAGGGTACTCAAATTATTTCTAATAGCGAAAAATAATTTAAAGCTTATTGTTAATGAATAGGAAAACAACTAGGTAAAAATGTAACATTTTTGTCAATAAACTAAGGACTTAAACAATTCTCAAGACTGCAGAGCAAAACAAAATATTAGGCCATAATTTGATCTTAAAAATATGAAAATTGGTGAGGCATGGCAGCTCATGTCTTTAATTCCAGCATTTTGGAAGCAGAGGCAGGAGGATCTCTGTGAGTTTGAAGCTAGTCTGGTCTACACAGTATATTCCAGGACAGCTAGGGTGATGTAAAGGGATCCTGTTTCAAAGACCAAAGTTAATTAATTAAATGGAAAGCAACAGAGAAAGACACTCAGCATCAGCCTCTGGCCTCCACACATACACATACACACAGGAAGGAGTGAGCACACCTGCACACTCTTGCATACACACACACACACACACACACACACACACACACACACACAAACTCACCTAAGGAGATACTCAGTTAGGAAGGTGTATATATTGCAAGCAAAAAGACCTGCGTTTGATCCCCAACACCTATGTAAAATGACAGGCTCTAAAGTATACACCCATGACTCCAGAGCTGTGGAGGGGACAGGTGTATCTCTGGAACTAGTTGGCTGCCCAGCCAATTTGGTCTAATCATTAAGCCCCTGGTCCTAGTGATGGACTTTTCTAGATGGCTTCTTGAGAACCTCTGGCCTTCATGTATACCTGGCACACACATGTACCTATATAGGTGCACCTTCACACAAACTAACACCTTATACAATATTTTAAGCAACCAGAACTTAATAACATTTGTGTGTGGTATGTCAAAGCAGGTTAATTTCAGGGATTTCCCTAGAGTAAGCAAAGGAAAGCATTAATTCAGACAAGGGAAATGAAATGGAAGAGGATGATTCAGAAAAGGCACTTGAACCAGGTGGTGGTGGTACTCGCCTTTAGTCCCAGCACTCAAGAGGCAGAGGCAGGTGGATCTCTGTGAGTTCAAGGCCAGCCTGGTCTACAGAGCGAGTTCCAGAACAGTCAGGGCTACACAAAGAAACCATTTCTCATAAAACAAAAACAAAGGAACTCTACCATTTGAATCAGTAGACCCATCTTGCAGACTTCCCAATGGGCCTACTACTTATTTTCCCACCATCTTGGCACATCTTAGAGGTGGGCTTACTTAGCAACAGGAAACACCAAGACTAAACCATCTGACCATGAAGTGTGTGAGATCTGGAATCCGGAAGTGAAGGAGGGTGAACACATTCCCAGAATCTCTCACACTGGTCACTGCAAGTTGCTGGACTGTGCTTTTTATCCTGATATAAAAAAGGAAAAAGAAGAAGAAGAAAAAAAAAAAAAAAAAAAAAACAGAGAGAATCTGGAGAAATTCAATAACTTGCCTTTCTTTCAACCTAATCAGTCCCCAATCAGGTCTTCAGAGTCCCAGTGACAGATGCTCAGAACTTCAGCTTCTGGAGGACCCACAATCCAGGAGTGCGCCCAGAGGAAACAATACCATGGATCCGGACCCCACGCCACTGTCTAATTAAAAGCTCAATGACCAGGTTAGGCTGAGAAGGGTCAGGGTGGGAGACCAAGGGAAGTTCTCTCCCCCTGCACTGAAAACCATAATTATGTCTCAGCTCCACATAAGAGCTGATAATTGGCCTGCTATAGTGATATAGCCTTTAATCCTAGCTCTCAGGAGATAAAGACAAGTGGATCTCTGTGATCTGTGAGTTCGAGCCCAGCTTGGTCTATATAGAGTTCCAGGACAGTCAGAGCTACACAGTGAAACCCTGTCTCAAAAAGAAAGGGGGGGGGTGGTATCAGAGAATAGATGCTTCCTCCTCTCTTTTCCAGATATATGGACCATTCCATTCTCAATGACAAGACCTTCACTCTATATTGAGGAGGGCACACTTGAAGAATAACATGAAAGCTGGAAGGAGGGCCAAGTCTTCAATTTGAGAAGGGGGACGGGAGGGGGTAGGAAGGCAGAATAAACAAACTGAACTAAAAGGCAACTTTCTCCACACTGGATTCGGGCGGCAGTGGAGCTATGCCAATACCCCTGACTCCTGTGACAGCAGTGAGATTCCTGATGAGGCCAGATGTTGGTATGAGGTGTGAAGAGGCCGGAGCACTGGGAGAACAACCACAGAGGTCTTGACCTAATGCATGGCAGGTCAGAGGAAACCTCTGGGAAGACACATTTGTCCTCATGGGGCTGCAAGGCCTAGAGCAGTTGTGCTCTCTGCAGCTTTATTCTGGTAGGCAGAAAACCACAGGAAGCCATTAGATCACAGATGAAAGAGGCCCAGAGATCACTGGGACAAGAGCTTGCAGCTGCACCAGGTTTTGTCACTTCTGACCCTGACCCAGTACCCAAACAGTTGCTTTTTTTTTTTTTTTTTTACAAAGAGTTTGATTTTATTGATATTTAAATATATTAAATATTTCACTGAAATACATGGTACACCACCCTCCCCCACTCCCACAGTGGTTACATTATAAAACCAAAGCCCATAGCCTCCCATTACCCCAGCTTCTCCCCCAACTGGTGAGGAAAGGGGCAATGGTAACTCGGGGGAAGGACATGGCTGGCACTGTGGTACAGGGAACCAGGGTATGGACAGGCCCCTCCCACCTGGCGAGAAGCAGACAGATCACCCAAAGCTGAGGCCTTCCCATTCTGGCTTACTCACTCCCACCCCAATGGCATCAATAGTCCCTTCCTATCCAGGGATATAGCTGGGGGAGATGAAGGAATTTTCTGTCTGGACCAGCTAATCTTCCCTCTTCTGTGCCTTGAATGCTCAAGTGCCCAGCTGGAACACAGAGAGCCCCGAGAAGGCAGTGCCAAGCCAGAAATCAGCTTCTGCAGAGAACTGGTGTCACAGGCACGAGGAAGGACAAGAGTCCAGCCTGCCCCTCGGCGCCCATGAAACCTGCCCCTCCGCCTGGTCAGCGTCTAAGACAAAGTGATCTTCCATCAAAACTGAGGCGTATGCCTCTGGCTTAAATAGGTACAGACAAACAAACCAAGGCACCAACTAATTCAGGCCAGAGTCAAGGAGGCTGCAGGGGTAAAAGAAAGGCAAGGACAGGAAGAGACTAGAGCCCAACCCTTGCAGGCTTCATGAGGATTGGGAGCCAGGAACTAGAGTCTAGCCCTGCTAGATTCAGGCTGAAGGCTTGGGAAAGCTGAGTTTAAATTTCCCAGGCTCCATCCCTTAGTACCAAAATCTGGGTCCTCAGAGGGACCCCACACTACCCCAGTCAGAAAGTATACCACACCCCAAGACATAAGCTGAGGGACCCAGGGAAGGCCTGAGCTTCTACCTCACAAACCTTCAACAGTTCAAGTGCAAGGAACACTAGAGACTTAAGCAGGTGCTTGGGCCCCTGCCCTAGGCAGGGGGACAGTCATACTGCACATGTGGCCCCCAAATGGCACTTAGGGATTTGGCACAAAAAAAGGACTCCTCTCCCCAGACCACTCTTCATTTTGCTACCAAACCCCATTCCACTCCTGTGCAAACTGGGCATTTCTCTCCGTCTCTTGATGGAGTCCCTGCCTTGACAACAGAAAGCAGGGGCTTCCAGGGGAGAGGCAGCCCTGAGTGGGGATCTGAGGAGCTGGAGCACATGGACACACAGAGAACATACACACACACAAAGCAACATGCACACACAGTTACCCAAATGCACAGGCCCTCCCTAGTGCCGGACTTAGGAGGCCAGGTTTGGGGTCAGGGTCATCTTTCTTGGAACCCTGACTCTTTTCTATTTGGCAATACAAGGGGTAGAGACGCTCCATGGCGCCCTTGCCGGCAGACGGCAAGTGAGCATCTGGGCCAAAGGAGCCGACCCTGGCCACCCTGGGGCCTCAGGTCAGTGTGGCCCCACCCTCCTCCCTGGCCACCTGCACTCTTTGGCCCCTGTAGGTGAGTGTCCAGTCCCTGATCTTCTGATGTCCCCACACACAGGTTTGCTCTCGCTGGTCATTTTCACAGTACCATGAGGCCAGATACCCCTTTCCCTGGAGCGTGTAGGAATTGGGGCTTTGTTATCAGAGGTCCCTTTGTTCCCCTTTGGGGACAGATCATGGGACTAGGATTTGGCAAATGGAAACATTCCCCTGAAATGTGGTCAGAGCTAGGACCCCACACAGTACCTCCTTCCTCTGCCCTGTGCTCAGGAAGGAGACTTGGCTGGGGCGGGGAATGCCCAGGACCAGTACTGAGGACACAGTCAAGCAAAGGCAAGCATGGAATAGGCATTCCTCATGCCCACTCCAATCTTTGTATAAAATTGTCCCAGGAAAAATAGGGAAAGGAATGACCCAGCCCTGAGCCTGTTGCCCAGACAGGGAAACAGTAGGCATAACGAGTTGCTGTTTGACTCCCTCAGACAGGAGGGCTACCTGGCCCCTGCTGTCACCCTCTCTTCTGCTTCCAAAAACTGAGGAGAGCCAACGGCTCCTACCCCAACTGAGAAAGTCTCTTGGATAATCCTCTTGGTGTCCCCTCCTCCTTCACCTTTCTGAAGGCAGACGACCGTGGTCCAAACACAGCCTGCTGGGATGGCCCCTTTAGCTGTCAGCAAGATCTGGGGGTTCAGTGGCCCCTGCGGCAGCTCCACCCATTGAGCAGAAAGTCCACTCAATGGCCACCTTGGTCCCTTCAGCTGAATCCCAGCTGCACTCTGCTAACTGCTAGGGCCCCCATTGAGGAAGTAGGTGGTCATCTCCCCCTTGCCCTTCACCTTGACCACTCCTCGACACTCCAGTTGGTAGCCCTTGGCAGCTAGAACCTGGTACAGGTCCGTGGTCACCTGGGGAAGTGGGAAGGGAGCCTTGCTTAGCCTGGAATCCTTGATGATATATTGGCAAGAAGCCCAATAGGAGTTCTCTATCAGGCTAGCTCCCCTCCCCCCCACCCCTACCCTAACCGCCAAAGAAGACAGCCACCCTATCCCTGCCCTGCAGACAGACTTGAGAAAGCCCTCTAGGTCCACACTCCCCCAGCTCAGCTCGCATCCCTTTACCTGTATTCGGTCAGGAACCCCTGTGCTGTCCATACGACTGGAGACATTCACTGTATTTCCCCAGATGTCATACTGTGGCTTCCGGGCCCCAATGACACCTGCCACAACTGGGCCCATGTTCAGCCCTGAAGTAGAGATAATAGCAAAAGTAGAAAGCAAGAGATTGAGGCTAGGATCCTCCAGGGTCCTCTAGGGCCTCTAGGGAGCCATCTTCCCTTGCACCTTGAGAAGGACCCAAAGGAAAAAAAGTAAGTGGAAATTAACAATTCTTCTGGTGGTTAAAAAAAAAAAAAAAAAAAAAAAAAAAAGTCTGGGTATGGCAGCTGAGGTAGCTCCCTTGAGTCCAGACAACTACTGCTGCACATGCTGAATGTGTCTTTGTGTATTCACAACTCATTGCTGTACCCCTATCTTACAGACAAGATATTGGGGGTAACTTCCTGAGTCAGTAATCAAAGCAGTGGGAAGTCAGGCCAGACTGCCTTCCACCAATGCAATGGAGAAGTACCTCCTCAGCCTGACCACACACAGACACCAGGCAGCGCCCTTTAGACAAACCTGCCTACTAGTCCTCCAACCTTCGCCAAGTTAATCTCTGAGCATTATTCTCATTTTAGGGGGGCAGGGCTTAATGTGAGAATTAAAATGTACTAAAAACATCTAGGACAAGACCCCAGCACATGAAGACTCAAAATAAATGGTCTTTGTCGTTGCATCAAACTTGACATGAGGGTGGGATATAGAAACCCTAAGAAGTCCTGAACTTGTGACCCTACCCAACCCAGACCTTCAGCTTTACCCACAAACTGTCCCAGTAAAATGTTCCAAGACCCAGGCCCTCACCAATCTTCATCTGGAAATTGTTGAAAGAGTGTTCGTTGATATGTTTCATCTGCTCCATGAGTCGCATGGCATAGTCTGCCAGGGCAGTGATGTGGGAACGGCCCACCTGATCATAGGTGCTGGCATTTAGCCCAGAGGCAGCCATGTAGGTGCTACCAATCGTCTTGATCTTTTCCAGCTGCCGGAATCTCTCCTCACTGATGATCTGGACAATGTGGGGAGGGGATGTGTCAAGCCAGATCCAGGTCTTTTCAAAGCTCACCCCTTGTCATTCCTTAGCACTCTCCCCCCTCCGCCCCTCAACAGCCCCATTGTTTTCGTGGGCAAACCCCCTTCCAATTGCTATTCTCAATGTAGGCCAAGAAAATAGGCAGTTCAGGACCCCGGGCAAGGAGCTGGTTATATGGCCTCAGAAGGTTGACTGTGATGGTCCCCTGCAGCAGAAACACTCTGATATGCTCTGAGGAACTGTGTCCCAGAGTGAGGGAGGGACTTCCCTTGACATGGGTGCTCAGAACACTTCCTCATGCTTGCTTGGCCCCATATGGATTTGTCCACTGACTACTGTCTCCCTCTCCAATGACATCAGCTGATGCTTATCCTGCCACCACCCTCCCAGAGCCCTGTCCTCTTCTGACTCCCCACAATGATGACTGCCTTTCTGCCTCTGACAGGGCAAGGGATACTCATCCCATCTAATCCATGGCTTTCTCACCCAAAGTCTGTTCCATCTCCCTGGTCCCCAAATCATCCCTACCCTCTGCCAGTACTAGTCAATGAACAGGTACCTCATCAAAGTCAGCAATGATCTCATTGAGCAGCCGCAGGCACTCGACACCCTCATTGTTGGCCTCTAGTTCCACATAGAATTCAGAGAAGTTGGCAATGGAGGCAAACATGACAGCCACACACTCGCATGACTGGTAGTAGAGTTCGTCGTTGCGGCGTTCTCGGGCCAGGAAGTGGGCAGCCACGTCCTTGGGCAGAATGTTATGCAGCAACCGTCGGTTGTATGCCTGGAGCTCCTCCATCTCCTCCTTCTCCCCTGTTGCCTGTGGGT